CTTCCACGCACTCCACCGCTCAACTCTCACTCCGACTCCGTCCTTTTGGGGTTTCGGGGCTCACCCTCGACGTCCCCGTCTCTCGGCTGTGCGTCATTATCCCAGCCTATCTCTTCATCATCAGGCTGTACGCCTTCCATCTTCCCACTTTAATCTTCTGCCTTCTTACTTCGTTCTTCTTACTTCTTTCTTCGTTCTTCTTTCTTCTTTCTTCTTTCTTCTGCTATTATTCGACAATAGCTCTTATCCTCGGTCACCGGCACCAATTATGTAGCTATTATTCGGCAATAGCTCTTATCCTCGGTCACCGGCACCAATTATGTAGCGTTTTCCTGGTCTCCGTACCACTTATGTATCTTCTTCGCCGTCTCTAGATATGTCTCCTTTTTCTGTCGTACCCTTCACACGGGCTTGATAGGGCCCGTGCGTGCGTTGTGTTTTCTCAATCCCCCTTCGTCGTCTACACCCGACGTTAGCTCGTAAAGGAAAGGCTTGCCGAATACGTGCAGTTCAGAAAGAGGGCCGAAGATAGAAGTAGAGTGATAATATGACGGGACAAGCCCGGCTGTTTATTACGGGTTGACACCCAGACGCACCAATTATGTAGTTTACACACAGGCCGCGAGCCAATGCGCGGATACACGTACAATAAGCGCGGCGTTACCGTTACTCACCCTCTCTCTTTCTCTCTCACGCGGGCGCGCGCACGCTCTCTCTCTCTCTCTCTCTCAACTCAACTGTTTGCAACTGCTTCTCAACTGGCGAGTCTCAAAAACTGTTCTCGTGGCAAGTCTCAACCCAACTGTGTCTGTTCTCTCCGACACGCGCACGCGTTTATATTTCACATCACCACGTGACGTCGTGACGGATACAAGAATGTCTCCCAGATCGCATTCCTTTCTCGAAGTTCACCAATCGCTTCTCTGTCTACCTGCGTCATACCACACGTGATTCTTCCCGATTGGACCACTCCGCCCCTCTCGGTTGACACGCCCCCTTCTTTCCTGCTTATTCTCTCACAACCGCTAGCTCGTCCTACCGTTCACATCTCTCCCCGCCAAATATCACTCACTAAACTACGGTATACGCATACAATTGCTACAGCTGCTGCGCGCGGCCGCGCCGCCGCGCGCAGTATATCACCGCCGCGCCGCATACTACCGCTGTGCCGCGGGCGCGCGCGGCCCACTATCCCCACCGCTTATCACTGCCGCGCGGGCCGCATCTCTATCCCCGCCGCTTATCACTGCCGCGCGGGCCGTATCTCTATCCCCGCCGCGTATCACTGCCGCACCGCCGCGCGCGCGGTATTTCTCACCGCCGCGTCGCATATACTACCGCTGTGCTACGGGCGCGCGCGGACCTCTCACCGCCGCGCGGGCGGGCCGCCGTGCGCTCGTGCGGTGCATACGCGTTCGTGACTTACTGCGGCGCTGTATTCATCATCGCGCCTCACGGCCGCTGTTACACTCCCCCCTACTCAGAAGAAAGACAATAGAATTTCTTCCCCGTAACATCACAACTTTAAATCAGAGGCCTGAGGTCGCGATGCACCGTACCCGTACACATTCTTCGAGCGCATATCTCGCATATATCATTTTACTGCTAAACTACACAATACACATCTAGAATACAATCGTCTAACATACACATCGTTATACAATACACATCTAGCTTGCTATATCGGCTTACAATACACATCATTATATGCTCTTATAATACTTATCGCGTTCCACCCGTCGTATGGTACCTTAATGGTACGCGACCCCGCGACGACCTCGAATATCCGCTCAGCCCGCTTGCTGGTCTCGTTGTTTTTATAAGCCGAAATTCCATCACAACTTTTTGCTAATCACCACGCGCTCGGTTACAGCTGTTTGCTGCCGCGCGACAAACAGTATATACGATTCAAAATTCAGAAATACGTGTACAGGTACACGCTAGAAATACTGTTTTTGCTTCGCGATCCTCGCCTTAGTCGCGTCAGATGGCGCACTGCCGCGATATTTAACCTCTCTGAATATAGCTCGATTATTCATTATACATTAGCGTACCGTGCAGAACAAAACTCTAACTCATATATCGCGCTCGCGAATATACCTCTCGATACGTGTAGCTATTAATATAGACAATTTCAACACTAAACACTTTAAATGAACACACATTCGCCTGTGCGATAATCATACAATACTGACGCGCGTTATTTCTAAAACATATTCTAACATATCTGTGTTTCGTACTATTCGTTAATTTTTCATTCTTACGGTAAACCTGAATAGGTGCTCCTCGTCCTTCTTCCCGCTGTAAGTTGGCAGTTACTTTTCTCCTCCCTCCAGATCCTTCAGTCGTCGTCTGATCTCCTCGTCCTTCTTCCCGCTGTAAGTCGAGGGTTCGCGGTAGTTCAGTCTCTCTCCCATCTAGATCCTTCAGCCGTCGTCTGATCTCCTCGTCCATATCTGTCTTTCGTCGATACCAGTAGTTAGCGACGTCAGATGTTACTCGCAATGCTTCCCCACCAAACTGCTGATAAGGTGCTCGGCAAGGTCACTGACCCCGCACGCCGTGCAGCGANGCAGCAGGTAGGAGGTGCCGTCCAGAAAAAGTTCAACATAGTCTATAGGAATTTCTGAGTCCAACTGTGCATTTGCTGTTGGTCCTGGATCACCACCAAAGGGTATGTTTCTCGGTTGCCAATTCGTACTGTCAGACCACTGGGGATTATTTTGATTTTGTCCCAGCTGCTGTTGATTACCAAATTATTTAATTCAGCTATTAGTTGATGAAACAAACAAATATGCTAGACAGAGAATTGATGCTCAAAAAAATGCTGGTAACCAAAAGCGTTATTCGAGGGCCAAAGCTTGGAAGGATGTTACCAGTGAGGAAATGAAAAAGTTCTTAGCTTTGTTTTTCCTCACTGGTATCATCTCAAAACCAGAGCTTGAACTATATTGGTCAACCAATGAGATATTGTCCACACCTATATTCTCAAAAGTCATGCCCAGAAACCGATTTGAGATAATTTGGTCATATTTTCACGTCAATGATAATGAAGCACGCCCTGCCGACGATACAGACAGACTGTACAAAGTGCGTCCTGTCCTAGACCACTTAGTCACTAAGTTTCGAGAATTGTATAACCCTGGTCAAAATATCTCAATCGACGAAGGCATGCTTTTATGGCGGGGTCGCCTTACCTTTCGTGTATATAATCCAGCAAAACCAGTGAAGTATGGGATCAAATCATATATATTGGCCGATTCTCAGTCTGGATATTGCTGGTTTCTGAAACCTTACTGTGGTGTAGGGGCAACTGTTGGTGATACGGTAGTTGAATTGTTAGGTCGACTTGTAAACCAAGGGTATATCTTGTATATGGATAACTATTATAATTCTGTAAGACTTGCCCATCGTCTCCTAGATCTCGATACACATGTATGTGGTACTCTAAGAAAGTTTCGCGGTGAACCACCAGAAATACGTGACCTGTCTAATGCTGATTTAGATGTGGGGGGTGTTGTTGCCCGTCATGATGGATCAGTATTGTGTATAGGGTGGCGTGATAAGCGTATTGTAAAAATGGTCACTACAGTCCATCAAGACACTATGACTGAGGTACATGTCAGGGAAAGGGGCCGTGCTGATCGAGTTGCTAAAATGAAACCTACATGCATTACTCAGTATAATGCCAGTATGAACGGTGTTGATCGAGTGGATCAGAATATACAATATTATCCATTCGTACGTAAGTCGGTAAAGTGGACGAAAAAATTCGTCATGTACTTATTTCAGATAGCTATCTACAATTCCTTTATTATCTATAAAGCAAGGAATCCCCAGGGAAAGTACAAAACACTGCTTGATTTCACCTTAGATATCATCCACTCGTGGATCACCGTTCATCCTGACAACGACTCAAGTGACAACGACTCAAGTGACGGCGGTGATGATAATGACGGGGGTGCTCAACCGGTCCAGCATACACCAAGGGCACCTGCTCGTGACCCTGGTACTCGTTTAGACAAGAAGGCCAAGAAACATGTCCTTTCTGCAATTGCAGGCACAATAAAAAAGAAATATCCATCACGCAGATGCAGAGTTTGCATGCGACGTGGCCTGCGTGGTGAGACCCGGTATATTTGCCAAAGTTGTGCTGTGCCATTGCACAAAGGAGAATGTTTTGCCACATACCATTCAACTCAAAAATATTATTAGTCCTCAATGTATGTATAATATGTATAATATAATATGGATGTATAATATTATCAAATCAATCAGATTGAACACTCAGAATAGTTGTTTTATTCATGGAAATAAACTTGTAAAGTATATTTCAGTTTTTTTCGTTTTCTGTAAAATTTTGGTCTAAAATGCCGAAAACGACCTATTTTCAACTGCATGGTGTACGGTAATGGAATAAGATATAGAAAAACCAATGGTATCATATGAAAAGTTGAATCTCCTAGTTTATTATGCTAAAGTAGATTTATTCTATCTTATTGGTAAAGTTTTCAATGTATTATTCAAAAATCCTGAAAATCGCGAAAAAAGTCTGGCGGCAGCTAGTTACCTGCCAAAAAAAATCTGGCGGGGAATGTGTTAAATGCAAGGACTGGTTCCATATTTTCTGTGGCGAGGCATTTTGCATACTTGACGATGCAGATGTACTAACTTGCACAACTTGTTTGTGCTAACTGCATTCGTATTGCTGTTAATAGCCATAAGAAACCAGCCATATACAAAATGAGATTATAGCTAATTTCATTGATATTGTTGATTTGCCAATAAGTGCAAATGTTGTTAAAAATGCGAATCTAATTACATTGTTGTATAAAAAATTGATGAAGAAATATCAGTTGTTTATTTACCGTTTGCTTTGTTCTTGTTTTCAGTATATAATTTCTCATATGAGAATTGTGACGGAATTTTCTGTAAATGAAATTCCATCACAATTACAAAATGTCTTTGCTGTAACTACAGAGCGCTGAATGCCAAGACAAAGAAGGATGCATATCCGCTTCCTCGAATTGAAGAGACTTTTGATGTGTTGAATGGTGCTGAATACTTTTGCTCCCTAGATTTGGCGCACAGTTTCAGATCCCCGTCAGAGAACAGGATATTGAGAAAACAGCTTTCAGGGTAGGTACAGGTGGACTGTATGACATATGAGAATGCCCTTTGGACTTACGGGAGCACCTGGAACATTCATGAGATTAATGGACAGGATATTTGGGGACCAGAATTTCTTGACATTGATTGTCTACCTGGATGACATGCTGTGTTTTGGCAAAACATACGAATAGACACTGGAGCGCCTCGACATGGTCTTCACATGATTAAAATTCTGGAATCTTAAAGTGAAACCAAAAAAGTGCCAGCTTTTCAAGACCAAGCTCCTCTACCTTGGACATGTCATATCAAAGGAAGGTAATAAAGTCGAGCAGGAAATGGGAAAGTCTGCGAAACAGTAAAAACAGAACCAAGGAGCAAGTTGCTAAGGCCAGGGACACAACCAGGAACTACCTCAGCAAGATCAACCCAGAAATATCCATCATCGCCTTCAGCATTGGGTAATCCCGGTCCTTGTGGAGCAGCTGCAGTCATTTACGTTAATGGAATGGATTCTGAGCCCATAAAAATCAGGAAACCTGTCTCTAAACTCAGCTCAAGCTACCATGCAGAATTGCAAGGGATCTTACTTGCTACTCATTTCTCAGCAAACTACTCCACCCACCACCTTGAAATTGAGTCTCTCCACATACTTTGCAACTGCCAGATCTTCACTGTCACATTGAAATAGATGATACTAAGGATCCTGAATGGACTCCACAGCTAGAACTCTGTGAGGAGGTTCCAGAGACAGAGCGCAGTCATTCCGATGATGAAAGTGATGACAGCATGTGAGTCAGTGTGCAGAATAAAATGTAAAATTCAAAGATCTTTGTAGCCTGCTCCTATTGTGGTTCTGCAGTTTGTCAGCTTCAAAATTTTCTGATATTTTTATGAAATAGGTTCACCTATCAATTTTCTTTTTTATTCAGGGAGGAAGATATGTCTAGCGTATCTACAGGTGATCTGCTTGAACAAAAGGTAATAGTTTTTTAGTCTTGCCTGGCTGCCTTATTTCTGCTCTGCACAGTGTGCTGCTCGCCCTGTCGTGTTTTGATCAAGAAGATCATGGGAAGCCTTCTAGTGGTGCAGCAGATATGTGAGAACGGACACTCCAGGATTTTGGCAAGTCAGTCAATGAATGAAAAGCTACCAGTGGGCAACCTGGCCTTAGCTGCTGGCATCCTATTCAGCGGAGCCATCCCTGGGAAAGTGATCAGTCTGTTAAGACATGTCAACTTGGTGGGAATCTCATTTCGGACATACACCTTGGTACAAACAACATACCTGAATCCTTCAGTTGCAAGAGTATGGAAGATCAAACAAGAGAAGCTGTTGGCAGAAGTCAAGGATGTCCCCATAGCGATAGGCGGTAACAGCAAGTGCTGCAGCCCGGGTCATACTGCTAAACATGGCAGTTACATTGTCATGAATCTATCAACAGCTAAGGTGCTGGACATGCGACTAATGCAGGTTAATATTAGAAGAGTAGGATTAACTGTCAGTATTTGCATTTTGATGGCTAAAACGATATTTACATTTACCTTTAACATTGCACTATTGCACGTCATTGTTCAACATTTTTTAGTGTGTGCTGTCAAATAAGCCACAAGATGAGCCTTTCCGATTTGGTTTCCCTACAGAGTAGTGAGGTGCAGAGTTCGAATGCAATGGAAC